ATGAGATAATGGAGAGTAAAGGAAAATGAAAGGCCCTCTTCCCGTGGATTCGTGAGGGTGTGCAGGGTTTTATATATATATATATATATATATATATAATATAAAAAATTAAAATAATTTTATATTTAATCACAGCATGTATATTTTTATCTGAAAATGTCACATTGAATTTCTAATAGAGTAATTATTTTATTATTTTTTATAAACTCAAAAATAATTAATTTTTAAATAATAGCATAAAAATTATGCTTTGATCAAATTTTAATTAAAAAGATAAAAATATATTTATGCCTATAGATTTTTTACCTTACACAAACCGCATAGACGCTTCATTGATGTTATACTATTCAGGAAAAACTTATATATTTATTCTAATATATTTAATGTGTCTGTTTTAATAAATCAAAACGTGTGTATTTTTTACAGATTATTTATTCTATAAAAAAATTCTTGTTATTAATTTTATTAGCATATTAAAATTCACATATCTTAATTTGATTGGATAAAAGTATATTAAGTGTATAGAGCTAAATATATAAATCTTGTCCTATTATTTTAACCTTTCAACAAAGAAAGATAAAATCAAACACTTCATTCAAAATTCAAATGTAACCAAGCTAAAGTAATACACTGCATGAAACTCCACACGAATAGCATTTCTAATCGATTCTTCCTGGTGAAAGTTAGCCCCACCCATTCTCTTCATTTTATATTTTCTTTTTTGGGTGAATTTCAATATAGGACCTTAGTAGCAATTAAATTAAAATTTAGATCCAAGAAAATCTAACAATACACCACAGCATTTGGGACTAAAATAAAAATAATTTTATATAATAAATGATTAAATATTGCCCTTTAACTTAAAGAAGGATAGCGTAAGCAAAAATGATCATATAGGTGAAATTTCCACACACCACTTGGGAGAGAGTGATGTCATCGGCGGCATCTCTTTCCGGCTTAGGCTGGGTGTGAGCAAGCAATTGCTCTAGGTGTGTGCATTAATGGCAGTAGAAGTTAGGGTATGTAAGCTTGCTGATGATGGCGGCGGTGACCTTTTAAAATGGGGGATCGGTGGTTGAGAGGATGATTGCATCTGGCGGAATAAGAATAGATTGTGCATCTAGGCTGGATCTCAAGTGAACTTCATATGGACAAACGATCTCAGATGGGTGCCACTGGGAACTATGAAGATGTTGGTGTTGACAGGGATGACTCTTGAAGAATAACAAAAGTAGAAATGAAGAAAAAAGTTGTGCACATCATCTTTAAGATGTGGGCAACACTTTCCTTTAGACTTAATTCGTTCTCACTTATTTTAATTTTCAGGTGTCAGTTGGGTTGATGATAAAAAATTTTTACGATACAATGAAATAAGGTTTGCACTATTAAAATTCAAGCCAAGACAATAATAGTCTTTACAAAGTGATAATGTCACTTTATCTATAGTGTGCTCAAAAAATAAAGACAATGAATTTTAATCGATAGATTTCTTTTGGATGTTTCAAATAAGTGATGGTAAAGAATATTTATAGATATTAAAATGATATTTTAAGACGGTACCTTTTAAATAATAAAACTTTCCTTAAGAGTTATAATCAATTTTAGTTCATAACATTTATATTGGTTCATGAACAACCTTATATTAATTCATGAATATCCTTGTGTTAGTTCATAAACTTACATAGCTTGATAATTAAATATTAACCAAAGGTTATTTATAATAACTTTCTATGAAAATATCCTTTTAATATGTAGAGTTTTTTTGAAATACATTTTCTTTCACTAAGTGACATATTTAGTTTTATAACCTTGTAAAAATGCCTTTAGAATTTAGAGAGACATCACCTTAGTGATTATAACTATCTAACATAACATTTCATAAAAATATTCCTTAATTTACAATGACATGACTTTTCAAAAAGATATCTCTTCATTTTGAAAATATTTCAATGGTTGGGAGATATGAAATCAAGGGCTAAAGAGGGTTTTTGAATGGAGGATGAGATGCTGGTGGCTCTACCTGTCTTCTTGGAGGTGATGGTGAAATCATGCTTCCGGTAGGACATTAAGAAGATGATGGAAAAGTTAATGAAGCCAAGGATAGAGGATTTGGTTATCGCTTTCGAGATACCTGTGACCCAATTCAATACGACCTGTGAATCCTCTGAAGTGCGACTAGAGGTGCCTGTAGAAGGGATGATATCTGCACTTTTGTTTTAGTAAACTCTCCCTCTTCTACATAGAGACTGGCTGTTTAAAACTTTAGGAAATACTATTGATTATTTTCTTGATTTTGGGGTCCTGATAGCTGTGGATGAAGTTTGGAGAGATTTTGTGGTTGCTGTAACGAGTTCTATCCCAGTTTGTGCCAGTAAGCTCAATTTGAATCAATGGAAGATGGGTTTTCTTTATCTGGTGTGGGACATTTTGATGGATAGTGGACTCTGGAAGGATATTTGGATCTTGAAAGTTCTATTTAAGATTAACTCACGAAGCCAGGATAATGGGAATTTGGATGCTTCTAATGCTTGGTCAAGGACTGGTGCTGATTTTATTGTTTGCGTGGTGGCATTTTGGTACAGGGGGTGTAGTTTTCACTTTATGGAATAATAATGTGGCTTGCGTGCACATGGAGGGTCATGAAGCCTCGGCTCCATCTTTCAGTTGGGTGTTATGTTCTTGGTATGCAAAGAATTTCTCTCTTGTCGGACTGTCCTCCTCTTGTTGATGCTGTAAACATTTTTGCTAAATATCCATAGTGGAAATACTCAATTATGCTTGAATCTAATTTGATTTTGAAGAGTATCGGTAAACTTGCTTTGCGGATGACAAATATTCTTATAGAGTTTACTGATTATTTATAGTAATTTAATAACGTATATGTCGAATTGTTGGTTTGTTAATTGTATGAAATTTAATAAAAAGTAAACCTAAAAAGACAAGATTAGTATAGGAGTGTAACAAGTGATATTGAATCTAACGTGTGTTTGTTGGTTTGTAAATTGTATGATGTATAATAACACATAAATCTCTAAAATTAACTACTCCAATGTAAGAGATTAATAAGTAATATTGAATAAATAATTTAAGTGTACATCGTTGTAGGGATTTAGTTCACGGATCTATTTTAATATCATCCAGTTAATGTTATTATAGGTAGGATATGCATTAACTTATGAATGATTGTCTTGTAGAGTGAATTATCTGCCTTAATGATTGACTTGTTCTAGCGGCTAGAGAACCATCCATCCAATTCAAATTTGCAATAGCTTTTTTACTAATTTCAAATATCGAGTCGGCCAAACAAAAAAGGCAATGACATAGTTGAAGGATGCGTCTTTTTTATGTTCTCCCTTTTGTAATTAGAGATGGGATTTAAATTAACAACAAAACTTCCTTACATTGAAATGTAATTAAAAATTAAATGCATTTGACGATTGCCTTTTTTCGCAATTAGAGATTAAATGTAACAAGTATTTTTGTGAAATTAACAAGTAAAGTTAAAAAATTAACAAATAATGTATATGACAAGTAATATTACACATTTGATAAGCCATGTAAGGAAATTTACAAGTAGCATTGGACATCCTACAAGTAATAGATAATTTTATAAATGATGAATATTACAATTAATATTTCAATCTTAACAAGTAATATAAAGGAATTTACAAGTGAGATTTCACAATTTACAAGTGAAGTTAAGAAAATTTACATTAATTTTAAAACAAGTATATTTATTATCAGACTTTACAAGACATTTTACTCATGGCATTAATAATTTAACAAATCATGTATAAATTTACACATATTAAATATTTGACAAGTAACATTACAAATTTAACAAGTACTATAAGACAATTTATAAATAATATTAGATATTCTACAAGTGACGTTAGCAACTTAAGAAGTCATTGATAGTTTTATACAAAATAAATACTATATAAGCAATATTCAATTCTTAACAAGTAACAAAAAAAATTTATAAGTAAGATTTCACAATTTACAAGTGAAATTAAAAAAATTTACATTAATTTAAAGAGAAATATATTATCTAAATTTACATATCATCCACAATTTTAATTTCTCTTCCACCAACTATTTCCTTCATCAAGGAATCACGTGTTGCCTAATATAGTTCAAGAATTATTCCAATCCAATTTTTAGTTTGGCGGAACACACAATTAGATGATCACACATTAGCTTCACATTCATTCATGACGCATGCGTTCTTTTCTTTTTCATTAAAAAAAAAATTATGTTCTTCTCTTTGAATATCCACTGTCCACTTTGTCTCCCTCACTCTCTCTTCTCCATTTTTTTTTTGATAAAATAGAAAAAAAAACATAAATTAAACAACAGTACTAATGTCCTGTGTAAAATTACATTTAAACTAGGAGGAGAGGAAAATAAAATATGAAATCCAGAAACACAAGATAAGGCTATGTTCACAGGCAAATCAGAGCTTCATTGACGTCTCTCGCAATTCTTTAACTATTGCCCCACCGCCCCAACAACAACAACCAAAAAAAAAAAAAAAGGCCAAAATATTACTCCCCAGCCAGCAGTGCTTGAGTTTCCACAATAATCCTGGCCTTGTGGTGGTCAAAGGGCTCGTCACTCTCTTCATTTTTTTTTTTAAATAAAAGACCACAGCAAAACCATACAGGTAAATTAAATTCTAATCATGTCTAAAATCATAAAGCTTTTACAGTCATCCGATGAATCATTTAAGATTATAACATTAAAATTTTCTAAATAAGATCTACACGCCTGAAAACCTACGCAACTATTTGTTTTTCTATATACGTGATCAAAAGTGACCACTCAATCTCTCATAATAAGATCTCTAATTTTTTTGATCTTGTCGAATAGAAAATGATCTTCAGAATAGCTGTAATTGATGAGTGATAGAGCCTCCATTTTTGCTTCATTTTATATTTTCAATTCTTCAGTTCAATTTTGATATTATTAAAATTAAAATATGCACGATGGAAATCAGATTGAAAACCAAACAAATTGAATAACTATTTTAACAAGGAAGACTTACAAACAAGGCATCCTCACAAGAAAATGGATGCAATTACTGTACATTATATATTGTATTTCGCGATAAAAAATTCTAATTTATATTTTTTTTTATTTTTTTCTCAAAGGCATCCTCAGGAAAGTTGTTGAGCTAAGCAGAATTTTTCTTCATCGCGTATCCACGAAAAGCTGCTAATCCGACAACTGCCATAGCAGCCCCAACTGTAAATTCATGATAGAAAAACGTATAAGTTGAGACGACAGAAAAAATGGATGTGCATATTTGCGGTACTGTGTAAAGTTTCATTAGGAGGTAGCTAAACAAAACGCACCTGAGGCAAATACAAGCGTGTGATGAAGAAGCTGATGGTACAGCCTTCTCTTCCTCCCAATATCAGTTTCAGGAATATTCAAATGAGGGCGTTCTGCAGCACTAACAATCTTATCATACACATTACTTGAATCACCTAATTTCAAACTCACATGAATGGGTGCCTCTATCCCCAATTCCTCCGTAACCTGGATAACATACAAATAATAGATGATAAGATCCTGAGCTCACGGGAATAGCACAGAAATCATGCATTATCAAAAAATTAGTCATAAGCAGACAATGCACACCTTAACTGAATCTTGCACTGCCCTTGGGTACGGAGTTAAGTCGTCCTTAGCAGCAATGAGAAGGCAAGGGACTCTATGACCAGTTAATTCTCCTTGTCTAGAAACTTCCTCGAGCAATTCTCTGGTTCTTTTCCACGAATGTTCATCTGAACTACAGAACATGGAACGAAGATCTTGAACCACAACACAAGACAACATGCCAAAAAAATGCATATGCAACAAAGGTAAGACAAGGTTTTTTCAATTAAGGAATTTTATCCAACCAAGGACCAAGAAGAAAAGGCATGGAGTACAGCCTCAAAATCAGGTTCCAATACTAATATCATGTGAGAAACAATTTCTCTTATAGTCTGAGTTAATAATATAGCCTTGTAAAATAACAAAACTTACAACTAAGAGATGCCTTTTCTTTTCTTTTGCTTTTTAAAAAAATTGGGTCAAAAATCAAGTTCTTGAATTGATTATCATATAATGCAAAATATCGGCCTTTATCACCCAGCAGAAAATTAGGAGAGTTCACCAATGAAGTAGATTAAAAAATAGAATTTATTTTAGGTGTCCTAAACAGTAAGAAGTTATGAACATATGGTGGGAAAACAGCATCATACCTGTCATATACAAAAACAGCAACATCACATGCAGCCAAACAATCCCGATTTGGCAAAAATTTCTTCACTTTATCCTCAGGTATCTCCCGCAAAATAAGAGTTTTTCTAGTCCCCTGTACATTGAACTTCGGGATAATAAGCACTTAGATCCAACTTAAAACTGCTAGTCGCACACCTATTCCCCCAGGACTTCTCAAAGTGACTTGTTATTTTCATTAGTAATAGAGTATATTAAATTGAAATGAACTGTGAGAGGGAAGACAAGATAATATAAGCCTTGAGGCACAATCATATTTTGGCAACTAATACTCACCCCAATTAATTCAACAATATTTGCGGCATATTGCTCGACCATTGTCGGAGTATATGTATCAGAGAATGGCCTGTGAAAGGAATGAGCAACAACTGAAAGCAGTCAAAGGTTGCTCGGATTAAAAAGGCACAACTGTATTTATGGATTAGATTTTATTAAATGAAATATCAAATATAATGAACTAGCATATACAAAGATGTGTTAATTGATTGAGGAGCACCACCTTCTCAAAAATGAATGCAACAAAGTAGATTTCCCAGCATTTTTCGAACCAAAGACATAGCACTGGAACACATTTCTTCCTGTTTTTTGTTTCTTACGGTCTACAGATCTCTTACGAGTAACGCGGAGTGCTGCAGCGGGATTGCCACTATATCCAATGTAAATCAAATTGGCCAGGCTAGATGGTGGATCAAGTAATGTCATGAAAGCCCACTGAAGATTTAGTAGCTATATCAATAAATAACTCATTTTTCCAACTAAATGGAAAGAAATAATGCAAAGTAGCACAAATCTTCAACTGAGAATTGAATCTGTAAATATTAAACCATAAAAATGAACAAAGTCAGGGGTCCCAACTAGAAAAACAACGTCCCATCCCCTCCAAAAGATGAGCAAGGGTAGAAAAGATAGTTAAAGGAAGAAATCATAATGCAATGACGTTCTCAGGGTAATTGATCGGGCACAAGACTTATCCCCAATAAATTTCTGGCTAGTTTGTCAGACGACCACATAATTTGAAAGTCACAGACAAACAATACGATTAGGTATATCTCTATAACTATTAACAAACAATCCTCAGGGAAATTGATCGGACACAAGCTTATCCCCAACAGAACATGAACACAGTACAGATGGTTAGGAACAAGGGAAACAAAAATGGCTGGTTCAAGAAATCAAGTCAGCGGATGTTACACAACCTGGGACAGAAATCCACTGAGAGTCATGTAGCCTGCGTCAGTTCTCTCAACAGCATCCTTATATGGATCATCACTCCATGGACTGGAATTCAAATATAAGTACAAAATTAAAATCGTAGAATGTCAATGAAAAAGGCATTGATATAGGATCATATCAAGCATCAAAATATGAACAAAGGTAAACAATTTACAAAGAACATATCCCCACGGAAAATAGATAACAGCATAGAAATAAATACCATAAGATCAGTTTCACTCTCAAGGTAACATTCTGCAAATAGGATAATGAAAACATATCTTTTTCTAAAATCTCATGTCTAAAAGACCAAAATATTCAAAACCATATGACAAAAATTTTTTGAAATCTCACAAAGGCAAATGTACACTGAATCATGGAAACCCAAGAGAAAAGGAAAAAATAGAGAAAAACTAGACATGGTTCCTTGTGTATTACATGGAGTCTGGAAAATAAATCATACTGTTTATAACTTATGAAAAATTGAATAGTGTGGCCTGCTCTAGATTTTCTATGACAAATTGATATGCCGATTATCAATGTTTTCCCCTTTCTAGTTCATTTAAAGCGTTCCTTTGTTATTATCCTCATTCATACACCCAATCAGTATCCAAACCAAGCAAGTCTTCCCAAATCCTATATGATAAGGATGACAAATACTCAATGGTAATAGTCTTTTTTTTTTTATTCATTCAATGGTACTAGTCTCATTCCACCCTTTAGAAGAATAGGTGGCAATCGGAACCCCTTGATCTCAATATCACGATACAATATGACATTGGCTGGACTATGGTTTTCTTAATTAATATTTGTATGATAAAAATGACAAATTCTTCTGATAAGACCCAACTCCCTACTACCACCAAAACACATAGAAAGGGACATAGCAAAGTGGAAAAGAGGCAACAGGCAGAAAATGGGGATCTATTGGTCCAGGAGAATACACAACAGCAACAACAACAAGCTTTTATCCCATTAGGTGGGGTTGGCTACATGGATTGCAAGACGCCATTGTGCTCTATCATTTATCAAGCTTTTAGGAATATTATTAATTAAGAGATTGCGTTCAACAACTTCCAAGAGTGTTCTCTTAGGCCTTCCTCTACCTCTCTTAATCGGACTCAAAGTTATATGCTCCACTCTTTTCACTGGTGCCTCCCTTGGTCTTCTTTGTACATGCCCAAACCATTTCAACCGATTTTCTACCATTTTTTTCTCAATAGGTGCCACCCTCACTTTTTCGCGTACGTGCTCATTTCGAATTTTATCTTTACGTGTATGTCCGCACATCCATCGTAATATTCTCATCTCTGCTACTCCAACTTTATGCTCTTGCTGTCCCGTTAGAGCCCAGCATTCACTAATATATAACATTGCCGGTCTGATAGCAGTGCGATAAAACTTTCCTTTAAGTTTATTAGGCACCTTACGGTCGCAAATAACTCCTTTAGCTTTTCTCCAATTAAACCACCCAACTTGAATTCTATGTGAAATATCTCCACTGATTTCGCCATCATTTTGAATAATGGCTCCCAAATATCTAAACTTTCCACTTGAAGTATAATTTGATCTCCCAATTTCACTTCCAAATTATTGTCGAATAGTCCTTTACCAAATTTACAATATAAATATTCCATCTTACTTCTACTCAACGAAAACCTTTCGACTCCAATGTCCTCCTCCATAACTCAAGTTTGCAATTAACCTCTTCTCTTGTCTCTGCTATAAGAACTATATCATCCGCGAAGAGCATACATTTCGGAATTTCCTCTTGAATATGTTCCGTCAAAACATTTAAGATCAAGTTGAACAAATAAGGACTCAGAGATGATCCCTGATGTAGTCCAATCTTTATAGGAAAGTCCAGGAGAATACACAGAAATTAAAAAATCAGATAAGACAGGAAGTAAAGGAGAAAAGAAAGGAATAATGATGAAGGGTAGGAGGAAGCAGTTGAAAAGTCATGAGTAGGTGTGCAAGGGAGGGACTGAGAGGTATGAAGGGTGAGGAAGAAAAGCTTGGGTTAGGTCTTGATGGATCAAGCCAACCTCTCAAAATTTTGGCAACTGAGTCTTGTGTTCTGTTCTGAAGATTAATATGCAGTATTGTGTGTGCGCGCCTTCCTATTCAGTGTAGTAAAAGATCTGTAATCCTCTCGTTCTCCATCTTTGTTGTGTTATGTATTGTTGTCTATATCTTCATTCTCAGCATCATTAGTATCTTCTGTATTGTTGAAGTTTAGTGTCTGTAACTGGCGTGTGTTATTAAAGTTTGTATCACTATGTGCTCATATGAATTAGGGTGTTGTGCCCGCATCTGGAAGTGATGTATTTCATCTTTTCTTTTTAACTTCTTGGTTAAATTTCTTCCCCATAGGGCCATTTGGTGATTTGTTCTGAAAGCACTGGATAGTGTCCTAACAGCTTCCTTTACATTCTTCTACAAATTATCAATGTTTGAGACATACAATAAGGCACAACATACATAAAGTTAAGTTCAAAGGAAGAATTAGAGTTCAAAACGAATTAGGAGAACCAAACCAAAGGAACTTGCGCAATATTAAAGAAGAAGAAGAAGAAAGAATAAAAAGACAGCCAATAGTTCACTAGTGCATACCACCATCACATCTTATGATAACTCTAATGCTAATCATAGTATAACAGAATAACAAGACATCTATCCTCGAACAAGTAGGGGGGAATGTTTTTGTAACGCTACAGAAACAGAAACCACAGCCCCATGAGAAGTGATCCTTTTTTCCTTTTTCCTTTTGTTTTTTTTTTTAGAAGTGATCCTTTAAGCAAAAATTTTTTTGTCAAACACAAACTCATCCGAAATTGTTACTTGTGCCTTTACTATCATACATTGCTGCTTACACCAATCTGTCATTATTAGTTTTCTATACAATGTGATAGATTGGAATTTTTTAATAAGTATTGCAAGTGAATGAAAGAAAATAGATGTGTTTAGCATGTGTATACAACATCATAATAGTATAGCAAGTGGCATACCCATATCATATGTAGTATATAAAGGAAATTAGCATAGGTTGTATGAAAAACAAATGAAGATTTAGGGGAAACAACTTTATATATATACTCAAGCCTAAAATATCATGAGCTATGGCAAAACAAAAATCAACTATTATTAGCAGCAAACTAAAATATTTCTGGGAATCACTTCTAATTAGAGAAAGCAAGAGACGTTGGATGCTAACTAGAGTGCCCAAGCAGTAACCATAATGACAAAGACATTACCACTACATTCTAAGCAAGACCAACAGTCTCAAAGGATGGGACCCAAAAGAACCCTATGAACACCAGATGGCTGGGCTAAATAGAAGAATCAAGAATATAAAGCCCAGAACTTGCAAGAAATAGGCTACAGTTTAGTCATAAGCACTGCCAACTACATTGTCATGAAAACATGAATAGAAGCAACGACCTAAAGACTCTAATTTCCACGCAAACAAAATTCATCCCATCAAAGCTTTGATTGAGATATTATATAATCTATTTTCCCCTACACGTATGGCCAATTCTAATCAATCTCTCTTTGTGAAAAGTCCCATGCAAATACAGCAAATATGAAGGGCTTAGCACTTAGAAGTTGAAGAAGCAAGCTTCATGTGATTTGACTTGAAATATTTACAGGAAATGAAAAACCTTTAATATTCAGCGGGCATAAGTAGAATCTCACGAGGACAGTTCTCTTCCTGGGTTTTGATTTTTGAACCTGGGATTTATCTCGAAGTTCTCCTCTTATACTTCAGCAATAGCAGCTATTACAAACAGCCAACTATTTCTAGACTACTTGATCCTTACTAAGACAGTAATTTCACAAAGAAAGTCACACTAATGCATACCCCCCGCCCCAAAAAAAAAAGTACTGCAAAAAAAAAAAAAAGCTGACCTTTCTGGGGCAGTAGAAAATAGCTTATCAAGCTCTGCAGGTTGTACGGCTCGGTCCTGGAAAACATCAAAATTCCAAAGCACAGGTTAGAGAAGCATTAGCTATGGAATACAACCTAAAAGGGGGGGAAGCTAGTAATAGCACAAAGTGGTGAGTATGACACAATATTCAAAATGCTATCACACATACTCTATCTGTATCTAACAATCGGAAGATACCATTCAGAAATTCTACAGCTTCATTTGTCAGCTCCACTCTCTGTAATATGGTATCAAAAATGTGATTACTTACATATTACACATGACATAAATTAGGTTTTTGATTCTCTGAAACAGCTTCACAACAAAGTTTATCTACAACTCAATAACCTATAGACAAGGGAAATGTAGTATAAAATTTTCTAATTCAACAATCATGCTTCGTAAAACCATCACCATCAAAGAACACATCCCCATCTTCAATTCATTCATGAGCAACAAGAAATAATATATAATGACCACTACCAAGTAACAGCTGCTAACTAAGTGGGATTCAAATTATGAAATTTGTACAAAATGTCGAGGCTAATGGAAAAAGCCTGACAATAAATGCAAGGCAATACTTAAGTGTCAATTATAGGATCAGATAAAATTCTCTCTTTTCATGATACCCAAGAAGCACACAACAATTTTTTTGCATACGGCCAAATATGCTTTTAAATTTAGGCACTCATCAACCCCAGTGAATCTGATGGTTAACAACCAGTACATACTAGCATGAACCATGAGAAACATTTTAGCATTCCTTGTTCATCACTTTCAAACTCACAGGAATATTGCAAATATAGAAATTTAATCTACTCTTAACAACCAATTCTTGTGCCAGTAGTCTAACCTCTTCCATTTAAGTCAAACAGGGTAGATCAAAGCGGATCTCAATATAATCGAGATTTTTTTTGGAAAAAAATGGACCTGATCGGATGCATAGTTAGATGGAACTGGAAGAAAATCATCACGGAGTTTTAAATCATTATTATATCCAAATTTTCTCAGAACAGCCCATATTGTCTCAGGACGCCCTTTCTTCAGGAATGTGTTATGGATATAAGTAAAGCCTGCAAAAGTAAGACCATGCCGGTTGATTCCTTCAGGTGCTTGCTGCTGAATAAGTGTTCTGACTTCCATTATTTCAGCTGACTGCAATGGCGTATCAAAACATCTAACCTGTTGAAATATTTACAACTACAGGTTTTCAGAATTTTCAAAATACAAGAGGTTCCAAAAAGGATACAAACCTTGTTATTCAAAATAAATATAATAAGAAAAAACTAAAGGTCATCAGAAACCTGAAATCCATTTAGCTCTGCATCATTGAGGGCACCATCCATGTCTCTATCACAGAGGACAAAAATTCTTCTCAGTGCCCTTAAACATCTATCTGTTAAAGCTTGCCTCTCGTGATCAAACAATGGGTCCACTGGATGCAGTACTGCTTTTTGAGCAAAATAAAAAACTTCAGGGACCTGATAGCAAGTAAAATTAATACGTAATTATGGAGAGCTTCAGTTTTGCATAGAGGAAGCCAAATGTGAGTTCAACATCATCAAGATAATATACTTTTACATATGAACCCAAACAATTACACGATTGCCAACAAGAATGAATTTCAGATTATTATACTTACAGAGGGAAAACAAGCAAAATAATTTAAACGTTTTTCAACCTTTCATGCTTCTTGTATTAGGTGACTGCTGGAAATCAAGATGGCACCCCCTTCCAAAAACAAATAGATCTAAATGGAAGATTCAATGTCCCACTGGGATGCCCATGAATGAAACTTGCTTAGCTACTATAAGAAATTATTGTGATGATCAGTTATGCGATTGGCTCATCTTTTAAATACAAAAACACTAAACCAATAGAGTGATCCAATAATAAGGTTTTAATCTTTTTTTAATCATTAATGAAACGCCAAACGACTGGTTAAACATGGGTTACCTCCTAGGCAAACAAAAGTAAGATTGTCAAGTATCGCACGGTTAGACAACATGCCTGATATAGTGTAGCAGCAGAGCATTCAATGCAGGTCACGATTTCACTATACTGTTGTAGGAGCTGCGTCATGAGATTCTCTAAGTTTATTTGCTGATTCTCGTCCTGTAGATCTAGCTTGCAACCAACCACAATTACAGGTGCCCTTACCTGCACAATCATAAAGAATAAACGATTATTTGATTGACATTAATACTTAATTTGTCATTGGAAATGACAGTTCAAACCTCCAACTCCTCCAGTTCAGGGATCCAGTAAGTACTAAGACGAGTAATGGTCGTCGGTTCATCACAAGCATATGTCAAAATCACTACATCAGCTCGCTTCAGCTCGTCGTTGCGCTTGCCCCGTTTTTCCAAGCTAAACGAGAAAATAATAGTTTAAGTAGAATGAAGAATGATCAGGCTATTATCTTCTCCCGAAGAAAATATCAACACTCATTGTGAGCACGGAGAGTAAAAAAAAAAAAATCCAAGCAATTGTGAAGAAAACAGGAAACCAAATTTAATCAGGATTGAAAAAGAATAGCAATGCATCAGTAAGATAAATGCACGATTGCACGGCATATGTTTGATTAGCAACAGCTTCATAAAAGATATGGGAGAAATTAATATGCGTCTGTGTACGGTTCCTGTCATTAAGGGGTGAGGGGGAAACAACTTTCTTCATGCTGATACAACAGTTCTCTGCGACGGACCTGGAAGATGTGTCAATGATGGTAAGCGGAACATGATCGGGGAACCAATCATCAGGCAACAGAGTGGGGGGCAGGACCAGGGGGACGGCGTCGGGGAAGGACTCAGAAGCCGCAGCAGCTATCAAACTGGATTTGCCGGTACCTCGGTCACCGATGACGGCGACTCGAACTCCAGAACGACCGGCGAAGGAGGAATGAACCGCCATTGATGCAAAGTGAGGGAAAGAAACAGTGGCAGTAGAAGCAGCGAAGGAAAAAAATGGCAATTCGCCAATCTGGCGGGGTTGCCCCGTCCTGGTTTTGCTTCGCTCCTTATGAAACACAGGCAATCTTGTTGAATTCTAGAGGTTCATTTTTTGCGTTGAATCAAAACCCCCGTGAAGGCGTGAAATTAATTAATTTATAGCTTGTTTATGCTATTAGTCCACCTCATTTTAGGCCCTAAAACCCGTTTGACTCTTCTTCTTCTTTTTTGGACAAAAACCCCGTTTAACTCTTTGCCCCGTTCAGTAATTAACTTCATAAATAAATTTGTTGCTTGAAATGGACGGGATACGTTAATATATTTTTTTTTTTGTTGATGACAGGGATACATTAATTGCAACTTCAGTGTAGTTTTGAAGTCTGATATGAAATAATATTAAATTAGAATGGCTTCGTAAATTGTATGCAATTTTATTAAAAAATTATTAGTCTATCCATTACTCTAAGCACAGTGATTTAATTATAACTAGAAAATCATCTCGTGCTTTTGCACAAATATCAAGAAATGATTGATATTGTTTAAACTATTGTTTTTAATTCTAATAATAAATCAAGTGATAAAAAAAAGAAAAAGATAGAACATTATAAATATTTTCATTAATAAATTAAAAGAAATATATCATCTTATATTTGTTAAGTGGTGGTTGATGATAAAAATATAGGAGCATAGAAAGAGTTGGATGATAGAAAGAGTTGGAGCAATGTGAATTTGAACGAAACGAAGACCGGCGGAATGAATGGTGACTGGAGATGAAGAAAATCTTAACTAATAAAAAGAATATTAGAGGAATCAATGACAACTAGGGATGAAGAAAATTTCAAAATCAACAATTAAATAGAATGAATTATTAAATATCATTTGGAGAAGTCATGGGCATCAAGGAAAGATTGATATTGTTTCAAATATTATTTTTAATTTTAATAATAAATCAAATGATAAAAAAGAAAAATATAGAGCATCGTAAAATATTCACACTAATAAATCAATATATATAGTAATGAACATCAAAATATTATAGATATACAGTATTTTGAATAATGCTATGCTATTTTTAAATTTTTGTTTAAATTTGATTTAAAAAATAGTTAATAGATATTTTGTCAAAAAAAATATATGGATGTGGGATTCATGATAACAAAAATTAGGTGTGAGATCTATCATTTTAAAAAGGTGAGATCAATGCAGGACCCGCAATTTAATTAATAAAATTTATTCACATAGGATGAAAAATATCTATAAATAACACATACTTCCTCTTATATGTATAATATTTTGAGGGTAACTTGAATAATTTTTAAATAACACTTACATCATCTGATCCTATTTATGAGTAAAGAGATAATATTTTTTTATCTCATTCATAAATTATATAATTAAATTTTTATCATGAATCAATTCTTCCAAAGACATAGCATGAGTTGGCCATGGTTGATGAAAGAAATGAACTACAATAAGGTTCATCTTCTTTCCCACTTTCATCTTTTATCATGGTAATATTTTCTTAAAATTGTCAATATGCTGGTGGCTACACATTCCCACTCATTGTCAAGAACATTATCTAGCAAAATAAAATTGACATTTTTTATTTGGAAGAACCTCGCGTTAGCAATAGTCGTGCTAACCGATTCCTTCATAACTTTGGGTTTCAACAATTGGATTTGAGTTGAGTCTAATGGGTTCTCTAAAAGTACTTAGATTCTTTGGAACAATGCAGATTACATGATTAATTATGTAACCTCAAACTCTCCATTACAATGTCATTGACCGAAAAAACCCATAAGCACATCCTAGCAATTGTCTATGGTGAAACTTTTAGCAGTGGCAAGAAATTTTTATGAGAATCCCTCATATTGATTTCACGATTCACCATTAAACGTTGGCTTGTAACAAATAACTTAAACTCTTTCCTTTCTCATGAAGACAAAGAAGGGGATCACCTTCTGACTTTATAAGTATGATGAACTTCAACTCTTATATCTATGATGCTGGTTTGATCACTCTTCCTCACAAAGGTAATAGATTCATTTGAGAGAAAACACACGTTAAAGAACGTCTTGGTTAGGCCTTCACCAACCTCCAATGGCTCTATGCTTTCCTCTAATCTAGCTTTTTCCATGATCTTCGATGCAAGTCTAATCACAGAGTCTTGGTGGTCAATTCTATCAGCCATAATCCTCCCCTTGTTTTGAGAAAGAATTTTATTTACTAGGCTACTTGGGCTATGGATAATGATTTCTCGAGTCTTGTCTCTAAAGCTTGGAATGGATGATAAGGATTGGATTGAGGGGAAGTCTACCTTCCAGCAACACACACTCTTGATTGGAACTTGAATCATGTAGGAAATATTTCCAAGAAGAAAAAAAACACATTGTGCTGTTTGATAACGTGTTTTTAAAAAGTATTTTAAAAACTAAAAAATAAAATATTATTTTAAAAAATAGAAAAATAAAAATATTTTTTAAGTGTTTTGAAATTTTTTTTAGAATAAGAAAGAATAAAAAATATACATATTTTTATTATCTTTTTATTACTTTATAAAACATTAATTTTTAAAATAATAAAATAAAAAAACACTTTCAAACATGTCACTGCGGAGGACTGATTTAAAAAGTGCATCAAACAGCCCAGTGATTATTATTTTTGTAAATAAAGCAAATGCAGGCATCAAGAATCCCACATACAGCGAAAGAGGAAATGTACCATTTTAGGGCTCAAGGGGGGTTTATCATTACAATTTGCAAGGAGGAGCCTTCTGCACAGGATCTCATCGGCGACCGAAACCCGCACGGCCGATTTAAACCATACGGGCTGGAGCTGGGGCGTCTTTAGTTCGCTTGTTTCACGGTTCATTATCGGCGCAGCTGAGTGAAAGGGAAATGCTGCTCCGCTCATACCAAACATGTCTATCGGTCGTGCGCCGTTTCTCAATCAACGCGACGGTTGAGACGTCGGCGCAAACCTCCACCGTCACTGTTCCCACCTCCCCTCGAGGCCGAGATACACTGGGTAAAAGGCTCTTGAGCCTTGTCTACCCAAAACGCAGTGCTGTCATTGCCATCAATAAATGGAAAGAAGAAGGCAACACGGCTCGCAAGTACGAGCTCAATCGTATCGTTCGCGAGCTCCGTAAGCTCAAGCGGTACAAACACGCTCTCGAGGTTGGTTCTTGACATTTCTTATTAATGTGTTTCCTGCATGTCCACCGTTATAATTCCCGGGTCAGCTCTATACTGTTTGGCTTAGAGTTAGGTTCTACTCGATGTTCTGTTATGCATTGCGTAGTGTAGAAAACAGGTATTCATTATGTTGGAGTTCGTTATGTTCGGGAATTTTCTGTTTGTCAGTCCTGTGCAGTGTGATTCTATTATCCTGCTCTGCTGACGTTATTAGAATTCTTCGCATGAGCTGTTAAGATATAATCGTTCACGTTCGTTTGCAGGAACGGACATAATTTGTCAGAAAGAGTAAGCATTAAGTTCATTCGCAATACCATTATAACTCAAGCTTGTGAAAATGGTTGGCGAGTCTCAAGTTTTCCCTTCTTGTAATTAGGATATAGAAAAATACGCAGGAAAAAACTGAGCATATCAAGGCTGTTATCTGTTTATAATGCGTCCATGCTAGGTGTCTTGTATTTGGACTTTTTATTCACAGCAGCTAGTTGTGCTTATCTTCCTTTGAAAGTTTAAGGAAGAAGTGATGTATATTCTTTTGAAACAATTTTATAATTATCTGTGACATGCATGTGTTTTATGGAAATAAATGGTGGGATAACTGGCTTTACTGGCCTTCTATCTGTATAGCTTAACCATAATTCTGCCTTTTCATATGCAGGTCTGTGAGTGGATGACCTCGCAGCCAGACATCAAGCTAGTGCCAGGGGACTATGCCGTCCACTTGGACTTGATAGCAAAAGTTCGTGGTCTAAGAAGTGCTGAAAAATTCTTTGAGGATCTTCCTGATCGGATCAGAGGTCAACCAACCTGTTCTGCTCTTCTCCATGTCTATGCACAAAACAACTTGGCTGACAAAGCTGAAGCTCTCATGTTGAAAATGTCAGAATGTGGTCTCTTGAAAAATCCTCTTCCTTATAACCACATGCTATCTCTTTACCTGTCAAATGGGAAATTTGAAAAGTTTTATGAAACCATTCAGGAGCTAAAGAAGAACATTTCACCAGATGTTGTAACTTTTAATTTGTGGTTAACTGTTTGTGCTTCACAGGATGATGTTGAAGCCGCAGAAAGAGTTTTCCTTGAGCTCAAGAAGGAAAAATTAGATCCTGACTGGGTAACGTATAGTACATTAACCAATTTATACATTAAAAATGCATTCCCTGAAAAAGCAGCATCTACTTTGAAAGAAATGGAGAGCAGAATCTCAAGGAATACTCGAGTTGCTTATCCTTCTCTACTTAGTTTGCATACGAACATGGGAAATAAGGATGAAGTTTTTCGAATATGGAAGAAGATGAAATCATGCTTTCGTAAAATGAATGATGCTGAGTACACTTGTATGATATCATCACTTGTAAGGCTCAGTGAATTTGAAGAAGCTGAGAGCCTTTATCAGGAATGGGAGTCAGTTACTGGGACCAAAGATGTCAGAGTTTCAAATATACTTCTTGCCTCATACATTAACCGAGACAAGATGGAAATGGCTGAAAACTTTTTAAATCAGTTTGTGCGAAAAGGCATAGATCCTTGCTACACTACATGGGAGCTATTTACTTGGGGCTATTTGAAAAAGAACGATGTAGAAAAAGTACTGGATAATTTCAGGAAAGCCGTTACTAGTGTGAAAAAATGGAATCCCGATCAAAGTTTAGTGAGAAAGATTTTCAAAATGCTAGAGGAGCAGGCCAATGTTGAAGGGTCAGAGCAATTGTTGGTTACCCTTCGAGATGCTGGCCACGTGAATACTGAGATATACAATCTACTTCTCAAAACTTATGCTAAGGCTGGTAAAATGCCTCTCATTGTTGTTGAGAGGATGAAGAAGGATAATGTTCCATTGGACGAAGAGACTCATAGGCTCTTAGACATAACTGGTAAAATGTGTGTCAGTGATGTTTCCAGCATTTTGTCGTAACTGCAGCATCAAATGGATGAAATAAATCTGATTGCAATTGATGGTTGTGTATCTATTTCGCTAATGTCAATGTCAATTCAATCCAGGAGGCACCGGCAGAAAGATTTCCCCGGTTCAGAAGTCAATACATTGTTTTGTGCATAAGTGCTCATTGGCGGAGATTAGCTTTTTCCTCAAATTCAACCTACGTATGGGGGATGTAATTGTTAGCATTATTTTGTAGTAGTCATGTAGCTTCAGAGTTCAGATATTTAGAGGAAGTTGATTTAATTTGCAAAGATTTCTGTATGCTCTTTGGTTTGATTGATTCTTGGCGAAGCAATTGTTGAAGAGAACCTGCCTTGTGCAAAATTCTGCGGTTCATTGTTTGAGGCTGTAGAATTTTGTCCAGCGAGCTTAGAGCTGTCTGTAATGCTGTAATTTTCTTTCCTACCTGCCTACGACCTGAACATGAAGTTCAAAATATTAAGTTATTGTCATCAAGATCTTAATCAGACCTAGCATACCAATTTGTACATTCGAGGGCATTCTTATATGCATGGTTCAAAATAACATTCCAATCTTTTGCTGTTGTATGTTTATTGTTGTCAATGAGCCTCTTCGTCAAGATTAGTGGCATCCTCTCTAAAGGTCTGATCCTTATGAATTAGGGGTATTTATGGGATGGGGTTAGGACTGTCTTGTGTCTTGTCCTGAAAAATAATTGAAATTGAATTTTTGTTTCATGTTAATGGGATTAGGACAAGATTGGAATATTCTATCATCTCAATAAAGTAGACAATATGAGAAAAAAGATTTGATAATAATATTCATTAATTAAAATTTTAAATTACATAATTTATTAAATTTAAAATCAAAATAACATGAGCATATAAATCATAATAATTTAAAATTAATTATTAAATTATATTAATTATAATTACAAGTGTATAACTTAAAGTTAGGTATACATGAGATATCACATATTATGATAGCATTCAAAAGTGATCTTTAGATTATAAAAGTAACAATAAATCATTATTATTTTTCTTTATTTGAGATATATTAATTTAGTAACTCTTTTAAAAATAAAATAAAAAATACAATATAAGCAAAAATTATTAAATAAATAGATATAAGAGTAAATTATATTAATATAATTAATATATTGTAAAAAAAAATATTACCTTATATTGCTTATTCTATGTCATTAAAATTATTAATATAAAAAAATTTTACTTTTAAATGAGAATTGCAAGTATTAAAATTATAATTAATATAAATATTAATTATATTAATATAATTAATATATTTAATGTATATTTTTAAAATAAAAATTATATATATAATATTCAGGATAAAACGAGACATCCAAAGGCTGCCAATTGTTTTAGGGACGAGACCAGTTCTCATGTGACCAAAATAAAACTGAATTAATTGAAATAAGTATAAGTTGAACATCTTTATTTTAAACGCACTTCAGTTTTCCCCTACCGTTACTGCCACGCAAAAAGAAAAAGAAATTAATTTAGCACCGCCGGACACATTGGATAATGCGATTATACGCACACGCTGTTATCAAATCTTCAACTCCTCCCAATTCACCTAAACCAGGACCAGATTTAAAATTTGGAAGCAATGAGAAAAGCTGGTTTTACCTACTTTTTTTTTTTTTTGTTGCTCAAAAGCCAACTTTATGTTAGAGTAGTGTTATATGTATAGTATGATTTGATGCAGTTGAGCTCTTAAAATTAATTTTCATCCATTATTGAAGAGAGACATTACTTCCGTTGGGGTTTGTTTGACATGGTTTTGTTTCAAAGATGTTGGGAGGATTTGGCACGGTGGTTAAGAAAAGTTGAGGATTGCCCCGGGTTGCCACATACGTACAAAAGGCTTAGATAGCATCTGCTCCTTGTAGATCACCAAAATAAAATTTCGAGAACCAGAAATACACTTGACCAAAAGAAAGCATGAGGTCATGGGAGGTTATGGAGCAAGCAGATGAGCGTTACACGAAGAATAACTGCAACAACCACACAGCTAGGGGTTTACCGAACCCAACCCTCACACACAACCAGTCTCTGTAAACATCTAATTTACACAAATGTCCCTGCCTGCTGGAAAACTTACTCCTTTTCCTGAAGTTTTTGCAAGGGAAGTTACTTAGGACGCTGTTTTTTTTTTTTTTTTTTGGTGAAAGCTCCAAAAGAAGATTGATTGAACTTAAGGGCTACAGATTTTCCGTCTTGAAAAAGCAAGTTTATATTCCGGCTGTATGATTCAGTTAAACACGGCTTTCAAGTTGAATTGAGCAAAGCAGAGATCGGGGACAAAATACTCAAGTCAACCTGAAGCAAAGCAGAAACGTTTCAAAAACTAAAAAAGTGATAAGTGATCACGTTGGGGGGTTATACACGTAATTCGAGTCCACGATCAGGGCTAAACATGTCAAAAAAATACCTCGTATGTACACACAAGTCATGTTCTTAGCACCATGCATAATCGCACGCGCAACGACATGCACCATTGTCGTTTAGCATTATCCCAATGCCAGGTGCCGTCCACGCGATGGTGAGGGGGCGAGACATCGTGGGTTGCAGGTGGTCCCCCAAAATGCCGTTTGAACTTCTTTTTGTTTTCTTCCCTCGCATTTGATTTAATATTTTTAGTTAAGTGGCAGGTCAGAAGCTGGACCTTTAAAAGCCAACCCCCCAATTCCCATTACAGAACACAGCAACTAAAACGTCGTCATAAATCAAGACAAGTTTTCTTCTCCTCCCTTCCTCCATGGCTTCTTCTGTTCATGAAGATGAATTTGCCTTCGATGAACGAATGCTACGGTGCTTGCCCTCTAATGTTGTAGACGAGGCATGCCTTTTAACTCTTCTTCTTACTTATCTTGTTTTCCGAGTTCGTTATAACTTAGTGTTTCGGCTTCTCTGTAACAGCTTCTTCATTAATAAACAACGTTCTGCAATTTTAATGTGGAGATAAATTTATATATTGGATTCACATGTTGTTTAGCTTGCTTTCAGGTACATACGAGGCACGGTCACCGAAAACATCATGAACTGCCTCGCCACAAATCTTCAGTAGAACCTCAGGTACCTCCCTCTTTATGATTGAGAATGAAGAATTCGAGCTTACCGGAGTTCGAGAACAGCTCTCGGTCCAATTGCACTTAGCTTAGGCTTATATTCATTATAAACCAACCCTCTTACTTCCTTAATTACTTCTCTAGCGTTTTAAAACAACACAGGTGAGAGAGAGAGAGAGAGAGGGAAAGAAGCTTATTGTTGCGTGTTCGTGTATAAAGTTTGGCTGGTGAAATGTGAGTAAGATTGGTTAGGTTTAGGCATTGACAAGATGCATTCTATGCATTACGCAAAAGCCTATTGATATAAGGACATAGGCCATAAGAGCATGGTAAGGGGAAAAAACGTGTCAAGATATATTCTGGTAGCCATTATAGGTTTCTCAATTGCAACTTAAAGAAAGCTCAGCTATTTCGGTATGTGTTATTAACACAGAACATGCCTTTGCATTTAGGTACTTATCCCTTCCGACCCAATCAATCTTCCTTTAAAATCAAAAAGTCATCAATTTGTCATTATTAGTAACACACACACACACACACACAAACAGAGCAGAAATATATACGATCTTGAGAACAAATGTAACCCACCAACCATCACCTTTCAATTTTCAAGTTAATAAAGCAGAGAATGTGCCGAATTCTGGACTTAAGCTTTTCGTTCAATCTGGTTGGTCTGATTTTCTTTTCTTATATCTGTTTGGAAAACATATTAGGTGGCAAAGGTGCAATGCAACAAAGCTGAAACCTAAACAATTATATATACAAATCTCAGTGGAGTGGCTTGCAGAAAAAAGTTAAAAAATTGAATCATTGCCACGTTCATTAAAATGGATAGTCTTTCCTGTAATGTAAATTTGGTTCCAATATCACTCCACATATTTTATAAGTATCTTCCACAACATCTGCAATTGCGTTTGTGGTATAACATGTAGTTTTCTTTTACACAGTACTCAAGATTATCACATCAAAGGCCAAGAGTGGCCAATGGTGGATATGGAATGCAAGCAATTTTCCTCGAATCTGGGCAGAGATCGTGTGGAACAGGGGTATTCTTACCCCAAACAGCAGGCACAAATTTCCAACCTCGCAAGAAGAAGCAAGGTTTTGATAACTTCTATTTGATGTTTGTTAATTGTTATGAGTACTAGAGACAAGTATACCTCAAAAGATTAGAATTGTTGAGTCGTACATTGAGAAGTCTTACAATAAAAATTGAATTTATAAGTTGAGAAGCTCTCAAACAAGAGTTGAATTTATAAGATTCTGACACTCCAATTACATAACTTGCAGGGTGCGCTCCTGTGCTCCTCCCAAACCGAGTGATTCGAGCTCTGAATCTCAACGTGCACACGCTAGGCTTGCAAATTTCACCCCGTCAAGGTCTCATTGATTAATTAATTTCTTTGTCCTTATTTTGTACATAAAGTTAATTCAATATCTCACAACATTATTAAACTACAAGCAAGAATACAATTCACCATGACAATGCAGAGCCGAAATATGAGCCCAGATGTGGAGACGATTTCAGTAAATCACGCAAGAAGAAAAGTGACCAGAGAAATGTGTCGAGGCAAGGTGGTATTATTTCTCATGACGCAAGGATATTTCTTCCAAAGGAATGGACTTACTAGCCATCTGGCTGCTTAATATAACCACAAGACCATATAATGCGGAGCCCACCAATAATAAAACATGGCATATTTTAGTGGTTTGTGCTGCGGCGTGTTACTCCATTCTTTGACAATGCTTTTATTTTTTCCCTCCAATAATAATAATAATTAACAGCACGTACCGTTTCTTTTTCTTTTCTTTTCTTTTCTTTTCTTCCTTTTGCTCCATTTAGTTCTGTAGTTGCAATGCACACTGTATCAATGAATGCAGGATGTACCATTGTTACGCTATTATTATACTATTCCTAGTGAAAATTAGCGAATGAATTAAACGTCCTGATTTTTAATGCTCTTTTTTGCTTTTTCTTGATGAAAAATATGCGAGATCAATAAATCAAAATACTTTAGGTGACTTGTTAATTGAATTTGTGAATGTCAGGAGCCGGCATTATCGAGTTCATATCCTGGTGCCTTTATGAAATTAAAATTAAAATTTACTTCATATTATGTAGAGTAGGTAGTGTTGACGAACTTACATGTGATTAAACTTGGGAGATATCTATTCCTCACTCGAAATGGCAGAATATTTGGTGGCAGAAAAGGTAGTGTATTTACAACTAGCGTAGATGGTGTGTATAGTCTGAAAAATAAAATTACATTAGACAAAGCCAGTTCTTTTTTTTTTTTTTTTTTTGGCCAAAGGAAAGACCTATTCCATAAATCAGAAACCAGCACATACAAAAGGCAACAACCAAAGAAGCAAAACAGCAACAACAAGAGGTAAAAACCAAAAAAAAAAAAAAACAAATAGCAGCAAACGCAAGTCAAAAGAGAAAAATAGCAAAGGAAAAAACAACAAGAACTAGTCAACACCATTTCGATCATGGTCAGCTACTCAACTGCACATTGGGCAGATCCAGCACAGAACTCTTGACATCCTCAGCTAGTAAGAGAGATAGAGGAGGTGGTGGTGTTTCCACCCATCCAACAAGACCTACTTCCTTAGCAGCAATAGCAGCCAAGAAATTCACCGCACTATTACCCTTGCGTGACACGAAGGAGAGAGTCAGTCCAGCTGTTGGTGTCACTTAGGCACTTGGTAAAAAAAAGCATGTTTATAATATGTTAACTTTATGATCTAAAATTTTTATGGTTAAAAGAATCTTAAATTTATATATTAAATCAATAATAATGTTTAAAATTTTAAACACAGATGTCATTTTAATTTTTAAATGAGACAGAATACGGAGTATTTCTTGAAAATAAGTATATTGCTTTTAAGAATTCAAGAAGCATTTTACTGCAATTTAAATTTTACATATAATAAATTTTAGCAAATAATCTCTTCTCTCTATATTATAAAATCTTGTCGGATTGCACTGTACGACGTTAAAAACATTTTTTAAATGGTATTTTTAAGTTTATCTTTTATTCTAGCATGGAATTAAAAAAAGATGAATATTTTTTATTTATATAATTTTAAAATTAGAAATTAATTTTTTGAATAACATATACAGAGTAACAAATTAAAAATAAAATATGTTAGTTAAGTTTTTAATAATATGCATGAGGCAATATAAATAATATATTGCACACATTTTCATCCAAATTTTAAATTGCATGAGGGGAAAGATTATAGAATAAAATAAAGTGTTACTTATATCTTTAATAGGTACAAGCATAAGAGATTCTAAAATGAAATATTTTTCTGTATTTTAATATGTATGTGGTCATAAATTATAAGTTAGAATATGTTGTTTATATTTTTTAACATGCACAAATAATAAATTTTGAAATAAAATAAAATATTTAAGCTAAAATAAAGGCACAATTGAAATAGGATACATAAATTAAACTGAAGTTATGACTAACTATATTGTTAACACCTAACCAATCAGTAAGTTAAAATTATTAATATAAAAATGTATTTATTATTGTATAGTAATTAAAGTAACAACTATCATACCATTTGTTTATAAAAAAATAATTTTACCATTTTTATTCCTGATAATTTTACACTTTTTATTAACAACTTCTTTTTAAATTTTAAATATGCCTTTTTATCATTTTGTTGAGGGTAAGAAATATAATTTTACAAAAAAAAATTTGTAGAGACTTCCTGATACTCCTTTTAAAATCTTAACTATAATATAAGTCATTGTTAATTAGTTTACATTTCTCAATAAAAGTTGATTAAAAGTTTAATTTTTTAAAAAAATTACATTTTTCAACCATATCTTCGCGCATAATAAATATAACATTGAACTTATTTTAAATATTCTTACTAACTATTATATATATAAAAGTAGGGTTAAAAGTTATAAGAGAATGTCATATGTTCATTTTTAGGTTTATTGCAATTCTTTGCTTCAGGATACTTTTTTTACAATTTTGTGCTTCAAAGTTAGGTTTGGAGTTAAGTTCGAGATGATTTATTATTTTTTAATATCTATAAAATATATTATTTAGGTTTGAAATTAGGTGTGGGATAAATTATTAATTTTTATATATATATAAAAATTTATTTTTACCTATTTAAAATTTAAATATGATCATATTTGAATTTAAATTAATATCTATTTATTTTAAAATTTAAAAAAAATCTCTATTTAAAATTTTCATCTATTCTAAAGATTTGCCAAAAATCAATATTCATATGATTGTGTGTGTATATATCTATTTGAATTCAAATTTAAATTAATATATATATATATATTTAAATATTTTGAAAAAAAAATTGTTTGAATATTTAGATTTATTCTCATGATTTCAAAAAATTTGTATCATATAATAAAATATAGATATCTATTTATTTAAAGTCAAATTAATACCAATCTATCTAAATATTTAATATGCAATTATGGGTTTAAAAATAGTAAAATACATATTTTTATAAATATAAAGACGTACATTATCAATTATTTACGTTTAAAAAATATTAATTTCAATGGTTTGATATAAATATTTAGTATTGCATGGTTTGAAAATATTAACTTTGTTTAGGATTTACAATATATATATGTGATAAGTGATAATTAATTTTTGAATTCAAATTAATTTGGGATCACTTTAGATATATATCATCACAAAAATTAATATTTAATATATATCATGATTTTAAAAAATCTCCCCTTCATTTTCTCCTCTTAATTCAAAATTATTCAATTATAAATTACTACGCTAGGCTAATATCACACTTTAGAATTCTACGTCCACTCACTCCTATATTCATATTAGGTTTATTCTCCTCTTAACTATTATTATACTATTCACGGCTTCTACATTTGATATCCATATAATACAACGAAAAAGGATTGGCATTTTTGCTTGGGTGATTCATCATGTGTGGAGATTGCTAAGTAGAAATATATTTAAAGATTCCAACGGCATTGAATTGGTTTTCCATGATATTAGAGTAAGTTTTTATGACTGTTGTATTTTCTTTTTAATAGTTGTAATCCATCAATTACGTCCAATTTTGTTTGATATGAAATACTTATGTAATCTATCTAATACTTGATCTCTGTAGTCATTTGAAAGCTTTTTTTTTAAATGTTTTAGACATAAATTGCAGCTATTTAAGACATGCACAATTTTAAAATTTGGGATCTTCTAATGTTTTGGATCGTATTGGACAATAAACCATTTATACCAGATTAACTTCATGTACTTGACTATTATGAAGTTTCATCTTAAGACAAGTTCTATCCATTATTTTGAGTTCAAGTTTGTCAATATTTCAGATATTGCATATAGGTAAGCAATGAATACTAATTACTTAGTATGTATGTTATTAAACTTTCTGAATTTTTTATTCAAAAACTTTATTTAGCACAATCAAGATAATATTTTATCTTCAAATTTTTCTATCTATTTAAAAACTTTATTTAATGCCCTTATATAATATCCTATTTATTTAGAAACTTTTTCTATCTTAAACTTTATTTTTTTTCACTTTATTTAATGAAATATATATGTAGCATTATATTTTATTTGTATGAAGCATATTAAGTTAGATTTGTTATGTTGGAGAGATGTGGATATGATAGAAATATGAAGGTTAAATAAGTAAATGTTGTTTATAATCACAGCAAGTTTATTTATACTTTCTAGTATTATTTTCACCAAAATATGTAAAGTTGTTGGTGAGCGTTATTTAAAATTTTTATTAATATTAGTTGAACTTATAAGATTATTTTTCTTCATGTGTCATACCTAATATAAATTACTTTGTTATTGTCATAAAAAATGTTAAAAATCAATATACTATTTTAATTCAAAATTTTAATTTGCTTTTTAAAATAATATATAATCATTGAGTTCTTATAATTTAAAAATATTATTTTTCAAGAGAAAATAATTTTAGATGGAGATAATGCATAAAATTTATTTTTTATTTTAAATTTATTTGATAATAATTATGTTTTCAAAAGAAGACCAAACCTATATTTTACATTAGGTTGGCTGGTCTCGATTTTAGCGCATAAAGATCAGGAATCGAGTTGATAACTAACCCAATCTTGCTAGTGACAAAGTTAAAAAATTTAGAATATAAATACAATATAGTAACATACATATACATATATATTTTTTGGAAAATGACAAATAAATTTCTTTAAAATAAGTAAATGACAAAATAGTATTGAGAAATGGAATAATTATGTTTCTAACCCTCTACAAACTAATAGACAACATAATTGTTAAAAACTAAATTAAATTTGTAAATAGAAAAGGTAAAATTGTTAATATAATAAATATATTTGTTATTGGACGATTAGATTGAAGTTATGACTGTGTTATTAATATTTAAACTAAAGTTGTTAATTGCTATATTGAAATTGTTAATGCAGGATAAGACTTTAATGCACACAAGTTTTATACCAAAGATTTTAATATATATTTAAAGGATATTCTAAAGTTAAACAACTCATTAATTGACTATCTTTCATTTTAAAGGAACAGTTATTGTGTTTCGTTGAGATTTTAAACAAATTTTTCATGTTATTTCATGTAGGTCAAGAGATGATTTTTTTTTTCTTGCCACCGTTAACTCTTTGTACATATGAGATAATTGTCAACTCCTTACACTAATAAAAAACATATGACTTCTAGCAACAAATACTAGGGCATCTATTAGTGTTCTTCAATATTTTGCTTATTAGATTATCAATTGGTGATTGGATTGCTACTAGACTTAATAAAAGATCTATAAATATTAAGATCCCAACTGAATTTCTTATTGGAAGGTTTGGATAACTCAATAAAATCCATTATCAATTCAACTTTCTTGGATTATCCTTAACAATGTTTATAATTATCTGAATTTTAGATATATGGCTATATTAACTCCTATTTTAACTAGGATTAAAGAAGTAAATAAGTATATGTTGTCCCCACTTTTTGGTGATGAAGTTGTATGCTTGAGCTTTGATAGTATTGTGAAAGACGATAGGGACATATATTTACTTAATGGCATGTACTCTACAAATTTTTTAAATTAAATTTCAATGCTATGCCCTCTTAAATCATAAATTAAGGCTTAAAATGGGTGCTTTAATTATTTTAATATGGAACATTGATATATTTATGGGGTTGTGTAATGGTACATGTCTTTTGATTATAAGAATTGAAAAATATGGTATTAAGGCCAAATAAATGTCTATAGATCAAATATAGGGATGCAATTATATATTACATATTGATATGTGTGCGTCCATCTAATTCCATGTGCTATTTACTATGATAAGGGGGTAGTTTCTCATTATATTGTTTTTTGCCATGATCATTAATAAGAGCCAAGGGTAGAGCATGTGTTATGTTGGTTTGTGCCTACCTTATCCTGTACTCACCCCATAATCAATTATATAATGTTGTTTTTCATGTTTGAAGTAGGAATAAAGGTTTAAAAATATTAATTCTTAATAGGAATGATTGCTCCACAGATAGAACTTCTAATATCACTTATAAAAAAATCTTTGGCAATTTGATTCAACAAATTATGAATTTTTGTTAATTTGCTTTCCATCGTATTCATTTACACAGTGTGCATTTAATTTTTATCGTTTGCTTTACTTTAATATATATACTTAATATTCATGCAATAATTATATAATCCCACTACATATAAGATGATATGAAAATCAAAAGTGTTTATTACAAGTTATTCTTTTGAGAAACATCTTCTTATAAGATTAATAATTTTTTATTCATAAAAATTATAATATAAGACCGGTGCATTGCACAGGTAGCTTACTAGTTACTCAATAAAGTAAGGGTTGATTTGAGAAATAATATGCTCCATCTAATCCAAAATATAAGCATTTTTTGGAGGAAAAAAATTGCATACTAATAAAATCTTCATTCCCATAAAAAAATATATATTATTTTTTTAATCTTAGTCTTAATTACCAATATACATTATAACGAGTGAAAGGTATATTTATATAAATATCTAGGTAATAAATACAAGGAGCAAAATGAAATCTTTTTTACATGTGCTTGATTGTTTATATTTTAAATTAAGATTAGTTAAGAAAAAATGCTTATATTTTAAATTAAAAGGAATATAAAACTTATCCAATTACCTATATTTTGAATTAAATAAAACTTTTAAAAAATAATTTATATTTTAATTCAAAAGGAGTAATTATCTCATTTCATGAATTTTTTTATCATTTATTTATTTTTATGAGATTCAATTGTCATTCTTTCTACCTAAAGTTAAATCTATCTAATTTTATAGTATTTAAATTAAAAAAAATATAAATTTAATCATAAATTTTTTTTTAATGACTATAAAATATTCTGGGAGACAACCTTCTTGGACCAGTCACTCATGCGTTGCCACGCACTCATTCAGCACAAGCGGCGTGTGATTATCCAATAACAAAAGCCTAGCAGCAAGTGGAATTATAGCGGGCAAAACACAGGATCCGGCGAATCGAATGAGCACCTACTGCTAGCCTTGAACTTGAAGCAAAGCACTAGCGCGCGTTGCTCTCGCCACTTCCGGCACTCATCCTGAATTCGAAGCCTAGTCATGGAAGCTACTCGGTTCAGCTCACATGTCTTACATCCACATAGCTTTCGAGCTAATCCCAAGATATTTCGAGGTTAGTTTCCCAGTGTTTCGTTACCTAGAAATCTGAGGAAGCAAAGAAGAAAGAAAATGAAGTATGGCTATTTGAGAGGTAAATTGAGTCTTTTCGCGTGAAGCTTGTGAGCGTTTTTTATTCTCACTGATAGTGCACCGTGATTCGCGGGACAGGACTTCGGATATTTTCTATCTTATTGTGACCTTGAATGGCTAGAATGAATGTGATAGTCAATTATCGCATATATTCTTCTCATTACGTTTATGTGTCGCTTATCATATTTTGCTCAATTTTATAGTATGGCAAGCATTTGTTATTCGTACTTGTATTTTCATTATTTGCTTTTCATCCTTGTCTCAAGTGTCCAGAGTCACGAATTGTATATCTGAATCAAAAATGTTATTTCGTTAAATATATTGCTATGAAAACTGGCAGGATACTAAATCTTTGTACCTATCTCTTGGTCAAGAAGGAATATGCTCTTACAAGCTTAACAATTTGTACCACTATCTACTCGGACTATTTAAATTAGCGAGGATTGTTTAGGCTTGTTCTACGGAGAAGTGTATGATCAATTATGAGTTAACATGCTCTTATTGCAAGCTGTTTATTATCACAGGCAGACAATCAGAACAAATCCAATTTTACTGTATAAAGTGCCATAAAACGTGGGGTTCTTCATTTGAAAGAAGGCAATCCCTATTGCTGAACAGGTCTTCGTTTAATAGAGTAAACTGGAAGCATTCTTTCAACTTCTCTTATAAGCATCGAAGTGACTATTTGCATGTGGAACCTCCAAATATCCAGCATTCAGATCAAGAAATTCTTCCTCCAACTCAAAGTGATGGGGCAGGGGTTCTTGCATCTTCTGATCCCCATAACCTGGACTTGAGACCCAAAAAGTATAAAAATAGGTTTCTTAATTTTGTTCGCTTGAGTTCTGTCCTGAATGGGATTGCTGAATCATTTTTCAAAAGTGAGATACGAAGGAGGTTGTTTGTGACTGCTGTGCTAATTGTACTCAGCCGTGTTGGCTATTTTGTTCCTCTACCTGGCTTTGATAGGAGGTTGATACCACAAGACTACCTAAGCTTTGTCTCAGGATCTGTTGGTAAGTTACTCAGATATCGCTCAGTTTCACTCTTGTATATATAACTTCTGATTTGTAGCTTTTATGAAAACTTATTCCTTTTGGTGCTCATCATTCATCAATCAGCACTTAAAGTGTATTCATTTCCAAGTACTGGTAAGTGGTAACCAAAGGATCACAACTTAAAATGGAAGATTAGGACACGATTAAATTTTTTTAAGGTGGATACCAAGTTCGAGGCAACTTATGAAGTAAAATGGAAAACCTAATCCAATTCAATGAGCTTTTAGAAGAACACCTTAGATTCATTCATAGGTGGTTTGTAAGGTTATACCTTTGAGCAGTCATTCATGTAGCTTCTGGCAGATGAACTTGGTGACTACACCTCTGAGCTCAAACTTTCTCTTTTCCAGCTCGGAATCAGTCCTCAGATAATAGCATCCATTATTATGCAGGTTTACCCTCTTTACTATTTGAGTTAGAGAAGTGGGGCAATTTTTTTGTTTTTTGTTTTTTGTTGTTTTTAACTTTCTGCTATTTTGGAGGCCAACAGATGTTTTATTCCATTTACTTACATGCGATTTTAGAATCTGATATTTTTTGCTATGCTGCTGAATTATAAGTGAAATTGCAGTATATCAGTATCTCTGAAAGAAGATGTCTTTCTGCAATCACTACTTTTACCTTGAATCACACATCATTGTGACTAGAGCCAATATTCTCAATCAAATGCCCAATTTTAGTATATATTTTAACTACAAAAAAATATTTTGCATTGATCTCTTAATTAATAATATTCCTAGAAGCTTGATAAATGATAGAGCACATTGGTGTTTTGCAATCCATGTAACCGACCCCACCTAGTGGGATAAAGGCTTGTTTTTGTTGTTGTTGTAAATTATTTTTTCTTTTGAAGTATTAGCTATTTTGTGCACTACATTTGTACCAGATGTGATATGGTGTGCAGGTTCTTTGTCATATGGTTCCTTCTCTGGTGAAACTGCGAAAGGAAGGTCTAGATGGACATGAGAAGATAAAGAGTTATATGTGTGTCCACTTATCCATTCCAGCATTGAGCTTAACAGTTGCTATCAATCATTTAACAAATATTATATCTGATCCTTGATTTTGGGATAATCAACTAATGAATCCTTATGCAAATTACAGATGGTGGATGTCACTTGGCTTTGCAATTTTGGAAGCTCTAATACTTGCATGCTACTCACTTCCATATTCAATTTATGCTGCCAATCAAAGGTACTTTGATCCAAAGGATCCATTTCAAGCATAATAACATAATGAAAAACTAATATATGAAAATTTGTCCTGCTCGCCAATTGATAATATAACATTAAATAGACTATATGTTATATGTTGTGATCCTTACCAAATGTTGTTTAATAGTGTTATCCATTTGCAGAGATTGTAGTCTCTTCGCCTCCATTACATTATGAAATGGATATTTATTTTTAACTATATTGTCCTGCCTACAGACCTGATTAAATTGTACCAATGGTGTAACCTCTCTGACTCGAATTAATGTTTTTCCGTTTAAAGATGTTTTTTTTTTTAAACAATTTTTTATATTGCAGGGTCAAGCATGTGATGTTAACAACTCTTTTGTTGGTATGCGGTGCAATGACTATAACATGGATATGTGATACCATCTCAGAATCCGGATTTGGTACTCTTATTAAATCTTTAAGCAAAATATGTTACTACATCATCCATGATTAGTTGTGGAAAATTTTCATGATATAAACCACTGCTTAGTGTGTGAAATTTATGTAGAATTATGCTTGAGAACCAGTGAATTTTATCCTTGTTGCATATGTACCTTGTAATTTCCTTAAAAAGGTTGTGTCTTCTCAATACAAGCTTGTTTGATGTAAAATATCTTTGCAAATTCATTTGCTGATGTAAGGAACTCTCAAAATCAGAGTGCCATAAATAATTCTTGCTGGTATTTGTTTGACCTGCAAGCAGCTGCTATTGGAAATTTTTCATATTATTCAAAAGATACTTATTTTCCATATTACATGAGCTTACAATTAATCTTTTGGTTCAATTTGTATTGCTACAACCTGAAAGGATGGGAGAATTGTGATTGTTGTCTATACTTGGATGATTTTTAAGACAAACTGGCCAACACATGTCTGCTATTACCATTTGATTTATTCTATTGTGATGTTGATGCCTTCTTCAGGTCAAGGTTCTTCGCTTATTATATGTGTGGGGATATTGACGGGTTATATGGAAACATTGCACAAAATGCTGACTCAGCTCTCAGGTACTTGCAGAATACAGACAAGCTTTTGAAATTTAATGCCATATCTCCCTTGTCCGCTTCACTTCTGCTCCTCAAGCTGGAGTCTTAACAAGTTGAAGTAACTACATTTTTTGTCACATGGACCTTAACTGCAGACTTACAGTTACTAAATTTGACAATTTTAGATTTCATTTGACTTGCACATTAATTGAATGTTTTCAATGATGACAGTAGCGTATCTCACATACATGAGAAAAGGTGGGGGGGACAAGAAAGGGCAATTTTGTAGTGGAATTCAATGATGACAGTGTTGTATCTCACTTACATACACAAGAGAAGGGGGGGACAAGAGAGGGCAATTTTGTAGTTTAATCTGATTAACATGGAAATTTATCTTGGGTCAGTGGCTGTGGGGGGAGTAACAAATTAGCCCAAGGATGTTATGCATTTGTTTGTTAGGTGAAGATATTCAATCTTCCATTAGTATACCTGTCTGATAAAATCATTAATTCTTAACCATACCTTTTGATATTGCAGTGAGTGCCGTTAGTTGGTGGCCCTATGTACTTGCAGTATTGGGTCTATTTACAATTGTCACTATGTGGGCAGTTGTAGTCACTGAAGGTTGCAGGAAAGTGAAACTTCAATACTATGGTTTCAAACTTGCTTCTGCTGCAAGGTAATAGCATTGTTTGGTACAGGCAGTTGAACCTTATTATCTTTGTTGAAACTCTAGATATTATTACAAGAGCTCTAATGTTCTATCTATTGTAAAAAGTTATATTTTACTGTTTATATTGTGATGGCAGCTATTCCATGCCTCTTCCAGAGTAAACAGGATAATCTAATGTCTTTTGCTCATATTATGTACTTCCATTGATTTGCACACTGACCAACAGTTGGACATAGCCTAAACAATCCTTCGTTATTACTCCCTCTGTTTTTTATTATAGGAGAAACTGTCATATGCTTCATTGTTTTTTTATAAGCAAATTACAAAATTTGAGAAGCATTTATCACTTTTTTTACAAGTTGCCCCTCATAAAATCAAAGCTTATTTTCACAAGACAAAGTTGATTCCTTCACATGCTGAAGATTAATTACAAAGGTATTTAATTTCAGACATAGTTATTATGCTTAATCAACTTTCTTAAGCTGTGTGACTTGGTTAAAATTTGCTTACATTTGAATGTGGAGGGATTATGCCATATAATTTTCATGTCTCTGAAGCTCAAAATGGTGAATTTTAGCGTTATGATATTGATATAGACCACTGTCATTTTTGTTGTCTTGAAATTTGAAACAGAGAGCAATCCCCAATTACTGAAGTGGAGCCCTATATTCCTTTCAACATTAACCCATCAGGAATGCAACCTGTTCTTACCACCACTTACCTCTTGGCGTTTCCAAGTATTCTTGCAAGGTTTGTATAATCTATAGTACAGTTTAATTAAATATAATTTGAGTATATCAAGTTTTCATCAATAATCAATCTTCTGATAAAGCAGCAAAAATTCTCAATTCCTTATGCCTATGATATCAGCTTCTCATCCCCACCCCCAAAATGCACATTTATGCATGCATGCATCTTAGGTGAAGCAGATTTTTCAGTTGTTTGTCACATGAGCTCTATAAACAGATTTTATTTGCTTTCTTGTGAAGGATTCACTGTTGTGATTTTTGAAATAACTTCTAATTCTAACATGCAGTTTGCTTGGTTCACGTTTCTGGGAGCATGTGAAGGAGATATTGAACCCTGATACATCTGCTGGTGCTGAGCCTTGGGTTTACTACTCCGTATATGCTTTTTTCGTCTTCTTATTCAATATATTTGATATTGTAAGTTTCTCTCCACTGCTATCATAATTATATACTTTTATGTGATCTACATGATACAATCTCTGCAAGGCCATCCAGTTAGTATTTTAAGGAATTCCATTTGATATAAGCTACTAGTTTTACACTGGATTGATAATACATAAAAAGATCATTTATGGTTTCAAATTAGGTTGAAGCTACCTTCACCGTGAAAACAGCCAGACTCCAGCCTGAAATTTAATAAGAGAAAGGCTTATTTTGTCCTTTTGGAATTACTTTTGCTAAGATGACTTTTTCTTTTTCTTTTTTTTTCGGTGAGGGTGGGGGGAACATTGATAAGTTGACTTTTGACTTAATGTCAATAATATGACTTGATGTCTCTGATATAACCGATTTTTGAAATTGAAGTTACCAAGTTTTGCTTAATTCAAGTTGCACTAACCTTTAGACTGATTTTGTAGTGTGTGACTGCCAAGGAAACGTAAACTAATATATCATGTGGGGCCAAGTAGCTATCAAGGAAACAAAATAAAAATGGGAAGGAAAAAAGGATATGCAGATACACATAGCTTGGCTCATTATTATTAGATTGTCGCTACTGTGCCACTGCAGTATTGGAAGTTAGTTTGTCCTGTTTTGCTATTGTTTATATGTTATGTTGATTGTGTCCAGGCCAACTTGCCCAAGGAAATTGCCGATTACTTGAATAAGATGGGTGCCAGGATACCTAACATAAAGCCTGGGAAGGCAACAATAGAATACCTTTCAAAAGTTCAGGCATCCACACGATTTTGGGGTCTGTTTTTGGTGATTGACTGTTATGTTAATCTTATGTCAACATGAATGCCATTTATATGAATCCTTATAAAAATACCGTATTGTTTCATTGCCTTGTGTTGTTAAATTTGCAGGTGGCCTATTGTTAAGTGTTTTGGCAACCACATCAAGCATTCTTGATCATTATTTACGGCGTACCAATGCTGGATTTGCAATTGGGTTCACATCAGTATTGATTATTGTAAGTCCTCACAATTTTCTTGCAAACTCTTGATAATTCACATAATATGACAAGGCATTCGTGTGAACCTTTACCATTCAAGTTTGAAATGCACTTTGCGCAATGTGAACATTAAAGTGACCTAATGTATTTAGTCATTTCCTTGGATTACTTGTTGGGTTAGTTCAATTCTTAATGGAAAATATTGAGCTTGCTTCAAGTGGAATTTTTGGTTGTAAATGTTCCGGCATTTTCATCAATTTAAATTCTCTAGAAAAATTTCTGAAATTTGTTCTGCAATATCACTGAGTAGCCCTTGGTTTTGTTGGTCCAGGTTGGTTCCATTATTGAGCTAAGAAGATCATATCAAGCCTATAATGTAATGCCAAGTTTAAGCAAGGCTCTGAGACGGTATGGTGTATAGCTTCTGGAAAGGCTGTGCTGCTCAACTGTTCCTTGTTATGTAAACCTCGAGGGTAACGATTTGGTCGCCATTGGTAAGTAGTAAGATTGCCCTTCAATACACAATTTGACGGTAGAGATATTTGATCCGGATTTCCTCTGTCGAAATATGTCCAGGTGACTCTGCTTTTCAAGTACGTCAGAGTCTAGTTTTGGGGTGGCGAAGTAATCTACCAGTGTTTGCTGCCTGTTCAGTAACAGCTGTGATCACTCTTTCAGAAGGCTCGTTTTCGTATATCTTAGGGGAAATAAATCGTCTTATGTATCCAGGAAATTTTCGTTAGCTTATTGTTATATGTAGCTTAGGATTTGTAAAGGAAATTCAAATTTGTCATAACTGTGATCTGTAATTTTCAAAGTGAGATGCCGGGATATGCAAGTGCGGAGGGCATAGGAGCCGCTGTGAAGAGAATTCCATCTTTGGTTTAGCACGTGCGTAACTATGAATAATGAATTGACTAGTATAAAACCAATCTTGGTAATTATATTCCCTTAGTTCCTAATTACAAGACAAATTTTTGGCGAATAATGTCCAAATATAAGATAATTTATAAACTTTGAGGAATAATTAATATTTTTTTTTAAAAATTCCCCTAATCATCATTGAATAAAAGTACTATTTTCGCCTTAAAATAAATTTACGAAAATGATAAGTATTACTTAAGGATAGAAATAAAATTATGAAAAAAAAATATTTTAAGGCACAAGTTAGTTAACTGTTTTGTTGGTATTTATAAATTAGCCGATTTATCTTTTAATTAGGAACTATAATAATTTAAAACTTATAACAAGTTTTAATAATTTAAAGTCGCCAATAATATGTATTCTTCTATTTAAAAATAAAAAATATTTTTAATTGAATTTTATTTTTAATAAAATAATTATTTACTTTTAAATTAACGTTATCTTTTTATATTTATTTATATTAAATATTTTATAATAAAGATAAAGTCATTTATAAATAGAATATTTAAAAAAAAATAAAATATTTAACTTTTTAAAAAATATTTTATATTTTTAATGGAGGAGTAATTTATTTGAAGTTTTATGTTAAGAGTTCTTCTCGATCAGTTGTCCTTATTGTAGAATCAAGAATCAAAATCAAATTTTTTTTGAGAGACATATCCATATTTAATATCTAGAGACAGGATCAGGCCTCGTAAATTATATGGGCCAAGGGGCTTATGGTTGAGCCAGTTGCTCCATGGATCTCGTACTCGCCCATTTTTATCTTTCATCATTTCACGGGTGGCTTCGTCCCCTTGCTCGCGCTCCAAGTTCAGTTTGAAATCAGCAGACTCTTCGCCGGCACTGGCATTAGAATTCTCTCTTATGTGGTCTTGAAGAATGGAAGCGATTGAGGCGTCTCGGAGCTCGGAGATCTGTACAACAGCGGGTGCTTTCGATGGCTCTGTCATTTTTCATACCATCTATGATGTCATAGGGTTTGTACTTTACATGCACCAGCAAATCCCCTCGTAAGTTCCTACCCTCATTTGGGTAGTGCGGGTGTGCGAATTGAATAGATAAAGTAATTGCAATCATAACAAACTTTTGGGCTGAAGGTTCTGTACAAAAAGGATATGATCAACAATGTTTTTAAAAAAGGAAAAAAAAAAAAAGGCTTGTCTCAGCATTCATAGTTGTATACGTGGAATTGGATTGGATACCGTCTGAGATCATTTTCTTTTTCCCAGCACAGTGCAGGATATGAGTATTGAATTCGATACAATGCATTCCGAGTATAGTCAGTTGGTACGTTATCTGAATGGACATTGCTTTAGTTAAATAACTGTATTAAAGAATCATACCCTGAAACAGTCATTTTCAGGTGTCTGCCCTTGCAGAAACTGAAGTGAAGGCATCACAGCGGAGATATCATATTAGCAAGATGAGGGATATCAAACTTGGAATTAGGAGACTAGAGAAGTTGATGAATGCACTTTCAAATATGAAAAATGCGATTCAGCTGATTATCAAAGCGATTCCCAGCATAGAGGAAATTATTTTGGCCCTTGGAGCTAGTCCACAACGACCTCAGCACATTTATGACTTAAGCTTTTCCCATGGAACAACTGGTCCCTCGGGTGCAAATGATTTTGATAGAAGTAAAGCAGCGGACGGACTTTCAAGAAAGGTTATTTGGTGATACTTCTGCATTCGGATTAAATTTCCATGCCTTTTGTCACAGGAAGGGAGAGGGATGTCATAATACATGTTTTGTTTTACAGGCAATAAGGACACTGGTATCAAAGGGAGCTGGGTCTGTGACCTATCCAGGTAGTTGATGTTCTTGCTCGTTGGTAATGCTGATCTGAAAATGGATTCGATTTTGGTTGTCGGTTCATTTATTTGTTTTACCTTACCATTATTGTAATATAATGATCACAATATGTGCAGGTTCGAGTAAACTCTTCCTGTTAATTAAGGCCCCTTCTTCATTCAATCAGCCCCAGCATTTTCTGCCAAAACGTGATTTTCGGTATAACAGAAAGGTAAATTAGACTATAAAAATAAGTGGCACTTGTTTTTTAAATCCTTTTTGCACAGAGCATCAATGTTCAAATTAGGTGCATTATCTTGTTCTGATGTTTTGTGGATCATCCCTACCAGCAAACAATAATAATCACTCATTCACTGTCATGATTGCTTGAAAATAGTTCAACTATAGACCTTTGCCATCTCGCTTCAGCCCCCTTTCTCCGTCAACTGTGCGAGGAACTGGAATATTTTCCCCTCTAAAAATGAGGGTCTAGTTCAAGATGTTTTAAATTTTAATACCATAAAATTTTCTGAGTCTTCCGTAGGATAAACGTTTACTATTCTTTCCACTTTCTCTGGAGAGAAAACATAAATGTAGAACGGAAATCACTAATTGCTATGTCAGGCAATTAGCTTTTTGTTTGTATGCATGTAGTTTCCTAACATAAACATAGAATCTCACCTCTACAGGAAAGGCTTTTTTTTTTTTTTTTTTGGGGGGGGGGGGGGAGGGGAGGGAGGGTTGTTCAGTTTTTACCTGAAATATGAATTTTATATTCGCTGCAGATTATGCCATTCAGACTGCTGTTTAAGTGCCGGAATCAGTGTCAGGAAGAGGTTGCTTCTACTTCAGAAGATTTAATCTGGTATCTGTCCTATGTTATGGGTATATATAGGCGTATGTTCACCTTTTTGTTGTGCTAAATATGCTTATTATATACTTGACCTTATGAGCAAACAATTTTGTTTATGTTGTTTGTATGAACCGCCTTTTTCTGTGTCATGAAAATTTCCCTCCCTTTCTTCTCTGCCTTGACTTTTTTCCTTCTTCCTCTCTAGAATGAAAAGATGATAGAACAACAAACAAGGAATAGAAAGCTAATTAGCCGGGAGTCATTTATCCGTTGACTTATTGAAAAATTATTTTGACTGTTGGTGCATGCTCGATATTTATGACCTCCATGTATAGATAGCATTGTATTTCACCCAGGCTTCTAAATGTTTCTCTTCACCATCTCATGATATGTTCTTGGGTCGTTTCTGTTAGGTGCTCAAAGTAACAAAAGAAAATAAGAGAAGTAAATCTATTAAGATGATATAAAACAAGAATCTTAATTTATATTTCTCTCAACAGCCATATTTAGAAGAATTTTCAAAGAGTTTAAAGACTAAATTATTGATGATATGCTAGCTTCTAAATTACTAGTCGTATTTATGAAGCCAAATACTACTCAAAATATCAAATAAAATCTAGATAACTAGATAATTAAATAAAACTGAATAAAATATCCTAAAATCTATATCTGAATAAAATCTAAATAAAATATAAAAACTAAACATCTAAATATAATCTCTTGCAATCTATCCTAAAATATTCCTAATTCCAATCAGATAATAATAATAAAATCAAATTTAATTTATCTTTTGACTTTTACTTCTTGATTAAGTCTTTAATGGAATATTATCTGGAATTAGTTTCACCCTCCACTTCATCGCCAATTTGGCATTGCTCACTTTTAAGTGACTTCTTTCTCCCCCTCACATCACAGGTTTCAATGTCGGCATGTGATAAAGGGCCTGGCCATGAACACAACGGCAGAAGAATGAAATTCTTTTCTTGACGTTAAAATGGTAACAACATATAGATATGTGGATATGGCCTTGTTTTAGACTTCATTAGGGTGCAATTTTGTCATGTATGCTACTAGGACAACATTTAAGACCAACATCTGTAGTTTTCGCTGCAGCTTCCTAAAGCATTGATGATTAGGTACCATATCTGAAATGTTAATGTTCAAGTCAAGCCATGCGATTTCCTTTACAAATACAAACTAACGGTTTGGGAACTCTCGTGTAATGGAATGGATTGAAGGATTCACTTTTCATTTTTTTTTAAAAAAAAAATTAGGATAGGCAGTTCCTTGGTTTTATTATAGGAGGCTACGAGAGATTCTAATGACAATTTGTTAGGTTGAATTGTGAATAAGTTTAACCATGTAAGGTGAAAAAGAAATTAAGGTCTCATTTGCCTACTAGAAAGAAATGTAATAAAATGGATTGAAAAAAAAAAGATAAAAATAAGATGATTAAAGGAGATATATAAGTACATTCATAAGGAAGTAATTTAATTCATGAAGTTGAAAATCATAATTCATAAAATTTTTAGAGAGTGATGATTTTTACATTTGTAGTATATATTAATGAGTTTTGTTCTGCTTATCATAAAAAGAAGGGTGATTTAATTTATTTTTACCTTGATATCCATTTCATTCCATTTTTGTAAACGGGGGACCTAAGTATTTGTTTCAAATGTGACTGGATTCAGCCCAAAAACAATGAGAGGTGTATGTGCTTGTTTGGCATGAGCGAGTAATGCTATGGTGGACAGAGTGATCAGGCGTGCTTCCCATCTTAGAGATGGCACCAACCCCTATAAATTGTGGAGTTCAGTACACGCTTCCTTGTCCCTTGTCCCTCGTTCCACCAAGAATGAGCCCTCATTTCTTTGTAGGCTTTTCAACTCTGATTGACTGTTTATGGGTTGTCCTCAAATTATAATAGCACACTTGAATCATGATTTGTTATGTTTAAATGTTAATAGAATTTTTTTTTAAAAAAAACTGAGCATCCTTCACTCACAATAAAAACAATTCATTTTCAAGGCACGGAAGGGGGAAAAAACTCTTTCAATTAAGTTTGCTCTACATACAAGTATTAATAGAAAGCTTTATTATTATTATTGATGATGCTGCTGCTGCAGGTCTTAAATTAGGAGGTAGATTGATGAAAGTTTAATATTGATGCCTGCACTTTACCATGAGGACTGTCCTTCACAAAGCCCCAAACATCTTCCGCAATATTTCAAGGCTCCCTAGCTCTAATTTATTATATGTATTTTCCATCATGTTTAATTAAAGTTATGATTAAAAATTTTGAAAAAAAAAACTGCGGATAAATTTTCCCCATAGAACTTATGGTTTGGACGTTGGACTTGAGGCTCACATTTAAAAACAAGCTGAGCCCAACGAAGATCACCCATACTCTCAACTAAATATATGCGTAAAATGCTTCGTGTCTTAATTGGCCCAAAATACTTATCACGTCAATGGTATAGCAATATAACTAAAATTTAATTAGTAACTGAGGTTGGGTTGAGTAGGAGATACTCTTGTTCTTGTGTAGATAGGAAAAATCACCTTAGAAATTGAACTTGGTGAAAAAAGAAAGTGAAATCATGTGACATCTACTCGTATAAATTTAACATTTATTGTTATATGGTCTATTTTTTATGGAATATCATGCAAAAGAAAGGAAATGGGTGGTGAAATCCAAGAAAAACTTGTTTGATATGCTTGATTTGCTTTCCCTCTCCCATTCTATTTTCTTTATATTATCTTCTCCATCCATTGTTTATTCTTGAAAACATTTTTCAACATGGCATGTTGGGCCGTTGGTCACCTAAACTAATGATTGATACAATAACTTCAATGCTGGCCAATATACACAAGAGCTTCAAAATATCTCTGAAACTGTACGATGACCTATTAGCTTCGTCCGATAGATATCATTATATTTCGTCCACTCAAGTAAAATCTTTGAAAATTCCAGATGAAGTTTACTCTCTCACGTACCCACATTTTTTCTATTGTCAACGAGACCATTTTAATTTGTCTTTCTTAGAAGAAGTTATTGCCAAAAGCGGCAAATTGACCACGATATTATAGGAAAAATAAATATTTACCAAGATACTACACATTAAAAAGTATTTATCAGGATACTATATATTAAAAATCAACTTGAATGACACTGAGTTCAAATTTTTTCTCTCCACATGATCAATGCAGAATTTGGCTTGAATGAAACCGATTTTTATATCATTAATTAATTAAAAAAAGATGTATTCCCTCCATTTAAAAGTATAATGTATTTTTTGAAGAGTTTGATGATTAAAAATGTAAGATAATTTTAATTTTTTAAGGAATAATTATTGCTTTTTTTTAAAGTGCCTCTATTGATAATAACTTAATATTTATTGTAGGGTGTTTAATAAGATAAATATAAAAAGATAGAGTTAATTAAAAAGTAGGTAATTACTTTATTAAGAAGTAAGATTCAATTAAAATTTTTTTATATTTTTAAATGAAAGAAGTATGTTAGAGCAAGGGACACCAATACCACACACCCCTAAGGCCTAACCCCCCTCTTTTCTTTGCAACAGCTCCCTCTTGCCTCTTGCAACCAATATGCCCATCCCTTGTGCACATTATGATACGTAAATATAAATCAAATTATATATATATATATATATATATATTCATTTTATAATTTTTAAATAAACAATTTAATAAACATAATTGCATACTCTTGTTTTGTTATAAAATTTAAATAAAGTGCTTTAATGAATAACACTTCCTCAAAATTGTACAAGGCCTGCGAAATAAATGCTACCATTTTTGCTTGAAAAGAGGCGAGATAAAATTGTGAAATGCTATTTAAGAAAATATGTAACTTATTAAATTTAAGAAGAGGTAAAAATATACTTAACATCATATATCTATGTACTTTTATTCAATCAAAATAAAATAAATGAATTTTAAAATATTAATAATATTAATAACAAAGATTTTTTTTAAAAAATTAACTCTACCTCCTAGTCCTAACATATATAAGGTCTCTTCATAGAGAAGAAGTACACACCCATGCAATCACCCAAATATGTTCATATGCAAGTTTGAACCTATAACCTCTTCTAAATAAGGAATGTGGCGTTGTTACTAAGACAAATTGACAACTAATCATGAAAATTTATTGTGAAATAAATATAAATAATATATAAATAATTTTTTTGATATAATTGAGAACGTATACCTTAAGTATATACATATAATATATAGCTTATTAAATCTAGGTATGCATGTTTAAGATTTTAGAAAATTATTTTAAAATATGATTTGGAATAAAAAGAATCTTAAACAAGGTAAACAAGTTTGATAAGGTTTTTTTAATTTCTAGAGTAAGCAAGTTTTTAATTAAAAATCATGTTCTAAAATTATTTTCTAAGATTTTAAACATGAAAAACCTAAATTTTAATAAGTTACATATTTTCTTAAATAGCATTTCACAATTTTAACTCATCTCTTTTCAAAAAAAATGATAACAATTATTTCGCAAACCTTGTACAATTTTAAAGGAAATGTTATTCATTAAAACACTTTATTTAAATTTTACGACAAAACAAAAATATGTAGTTATATTTATTAAATTGTTTATTTTAAAATTAGAAAATGTAAATATACATATACATATATATATATATATATATATATAATATTTGATATATATCTATGTATTATAATGTGTACAAGGGATGAGAATATTGGTTGTAAGAGGGAAGAGGGAGTTGTTGCGAAGAGGAGAGGGGGGAGTTAGACCTTAAGGGTGTGCGGTATTGTTGTGCCCTACTTTGACACACCTTTTTTTTTTAAAAAAATCAATTAATGATACATAAATTGGTTTCATTTAAGCCAAGTTTTTCACTAATTGGAGAGAGAAAATTTGAACTCGATATCATTCAAACTGATTTTTAATTTATAGTATCTTGATAAATATTTTTCAATGTGTAATATCCTGTTAAATAAGTTTTTTTTCCTATAGTATGGTAGTCAATTTGCCGCCAAAATCAATTGACTAGCTAGAACTATTAACATACATTTCAAATGGTAATATAATTTAGATTTTTTTATTGAATAGAAAATATTACGTTTAGTGAGCAAAAGAAATGAAAATCAAGAACTTGCGCATGGGATTCACTTCTTTGCCTCTTTTCTCCCCAATCTACTTTCACCCTCTTCTTTTTGAATATATTCGAGAGATATTTTATTAATTATTGACTCCCTCTTGTTGAGTATAAGGCATTTTTTTAAATATAATTTAAAAAATATAGGATATTTTGGATATTTTAATGTGTAATTAATTTTTTTTCTAAAAATATTCATAATTAAGAGAGTAATTAATTAGGTTTTGTAATTAAAACATATTATTAATAAATACAAACAAACATGAAAAGAGTGTAAATTTTAAAAATAATTAACTAATTCATTGAAGATATAATTTGTTCTAAAGTGACTTATAATATTGAAGGAATGGAGTATTATTAAGGGTTAAATGCAATATGGATCCTAAATTATGAGCCCATGAGGGGGTTGAACCCTAAACTCATCGTTGGTATATTTTAAATTATAAATAATTAAATTTGGGATAATTTTACCCTACCGTTATGTTAAAGTAAATTGCTATTACTTCAAGTGGTGAGCCTATATTTGCAAGATAAGGGGCATGGACCATTTACTCTCTCTCCCCTATTTACTCTCTCTCTCTCTCTCTCTCTCTCTCACATTCTCCCATTACTTTTATCCTTCTCTACTCTCTCTCTCCCTTGCTCTCTACATAACCACTCAAATCATAGGCAGCATTGTCCACTAGTGGATTTATGCACACACACTAAAGGGTTAAGTTGCTTTGTCCTGTCTTTCTTTTGCCTCACCACTCCTACCATCTTCATTTACATAATCAACTAAGCCATGTCCATGTCTACTTGCATCTTCTCTGGCCACCTTGGCAGTTTTAAGCTTGTGCTACCTCCCTAAATAATAGTGGATTTAACTCTTTGCTTATGGTCTTGTGGTGTAACGGAAACACTATGTGGGCAATCATTTAGAGCTTACCAGTGCAAGATGCTAAGCATATACTTGCAATGAGCAAGCATCGTTCTAACTCTAGTTAGTGTACTAGTATTCATCTTGTAGTTTCAAGCTTGTTTTCGACATGCTTGCTGAATGAACATGGAAGGTAAGCTCTGTCGATATGTTATATAACATCTCAAAATTAATTTAAAATTTAAATTAATTAATTAAGGTAATTATGAGTTAATAATTGGTTTGAATGGCCATTTAGGCCTATTTGACTCTCTAGTAGACTTAGATTAAGGTTATAAAGGTTATTGGGCTTAGAAATTAAGTTTAAGTTAAGTTGCTTATGTTGGATTGTTTGTAGTAGCGAACAATGCAACTTGTTATGGTGAGTATGATAGAATTCAAAACTCAAATTTGTCATTCAAAATGATAGAATTTTGGAGATTTTGAGAGAGAATCCGAGAAGGTGGTATTTGGGCTTTGTTAGGTTTGCTTTGGAGAGTCATAGAGATGTTTTGGAGCACTTAAGACATTAGGTAAGCTTCTTAACTTCATTTCTCTCTTCTTCTTGCAACTTTTGCATTTTGGGGGCTGTGGAGATGATATCCAAACTTAGGGTTGGGTTCCAGCAATCCCTATAACTTAATTAAAGTTTAAGGATGTTATTTATTGCTTCTAACATTAAGTTTGAGTGGTTTGCAATATGAAATGCCATTAATGAGGAGTTTAGAATCAACCCCAATGCAAGCAAGTTTAAGCTGATAAGAGTTAATGACAGTATTTATTAAGCTTAATAGGAGTTAAACTAATAAAAGTAGTTTGGGGCTAAATATGCTTAATCATGCTAGGGATGAATCAGGCCTTAGTCATGATTAAGGGTAAATTAATAACTATTAGTCATTAATGTTGTTTTGTGATTTTGGTTGTAGACTTATTGTGCTTGAAGCTTAAGTTCAAAGTAATTAACTTAGGAAATTTAAATTTAACTCTTAGAGTGGTAGCCCAAGAGTAGAGATAGCTGAAAGTTTAATTATAATATATCATTGTGTATGTAATTATATTTAACTAATATGGAATTAATGATATGCAATTTGTAGCATGGATTTATTGTGAGCCTGTGAACTTGTGACTATTATTAAATAATAAGCATACCTAATAGTGATAAAGAACTTGATGGTTTCATTAAATGAATGTTATTTCACATTGATATATGAATTGTGGGCCTAGATTGGCTATGGATTAATGATATTTTCATGACAAAGTGTATGCCCAAATTGGTAATATGTGATGATAATACGAATAGATCATCATCGAGTAATTGGTGGTCATATGTATTATGATAACGTGCAAGTTTTGTTAAGAATGAGAATGTTAACTTACTATGT